GGGGGGGCTGGAAGAGGCGGGGAGCAATACTTCTCGGAGGTCAGCTTCATAAATAAATTTGACTTTAGAACCACATTAGTCTTTTGTACACTAAAAAAAAAAAATCATCATATATTAGAGGAAAAAAACTGAAAGTGAAATACGAGCGGAAACGAATGAACTGTATTCCAAATTAATCCTGTCCCCACACCCAACAGGGGGCTTTTGAACACGGGACTTAGGCTGTGCAGGGTGGGGCACAAGCAGGTTTACAGTTGTTCGTATGGAAAATAATAAAATAAATCATAAATAGTAACACAAGAATAAACCCTGTGTTTTGTGTGCTCACAACTATAAACCTCCTTTGCCCTACCCTGTATATCCTCAAGCTACAAACCAAAGGACTGCAAATATTAAACTCTACTTTTTGCAGTTTTATAGGATAACAGTCCTGAAAATATTTTCTGTGGTTCATAGGAATGAGCCAAAGAAAATATATTTAGGGTAACAGAAGGTAGGTTCTCACGGTCAGCCAAAGGGGTTATGGACATGGGAAGACAGAGGGTGGCTCGGACCCGGGGCTGGAAGGGAGGGACTCGGCGTGAGCTCTCCGGCTCACACAGGTAAGGAGAGAAGCAGCTGTGCTGCGTGTCCGCTGCTCTTACTTAGTATTATTTACATTTAGAAGCTCTGTCCTCTGAAAGGCCCTTTGTGCAAAAATAGCCCAAAACAAATGAGCGCGCCCGGCACCGAGGCCTTGGTTTCTAAACAGCATTCCACGCAAACAGGAAACGCTCTCGAGGACAGGACCGACTACAGGGCCAAGCAGGACAAGCGCCAGGTGAGCCGGGGGCATCTTGTGTCAGAAAGCAAGTGTCTCAAGCAATGACGGGACTTGTCCAAAGGATGCGGGAGCCGGCTTGAAGGGGTCTCACTGGCTAAGCTGGGACAGGCTGGACACCTGTACAAATCATTTCACCAGCCGGATGTTCACGGAACGAGGTAAGAGTCTGAGTCCATAGATGAGATGAATGAATAAATAAACAGAGAAGTCAAAGCTCTCCCTTGTGGTAAATGCTATGTAATCATTGTAGGAAATGGAGAATCGTTTTCCCAGATTCTCGGTAATCACCGACTCAGCCAATAATCATCACCAGAGGCCAGTCCGGCAGGAACCAGGGACAGGGTATTGACAGAGTTTCGGAGCATCACCCTCACATTTATTGTGTTAATTAGGAAAGTGAAAAATAGACTATAGTGGGTTAACCTTGCAAGCACAGTCTTAACCACGTATCCAGGTTATATCGTCACCAATAACAGGACAGACTGGCATTGCAGGCCTCCAGTATGACCCCCGAGAAGGACAGGCCTGTGAGAGACAGAAGAACAACCCTCCAAAGCCGCCCACCTCCTAACACGCAGAATCTTGGGAGGTCTTTGCAGATGTGATTAAGTTAAGGATTTTTTTTATTGGCTTTTGTTTTTTTTATTGGGGTGACACTAGTTAACAAACTTACACAGGCTCACGTGCACAACTCTACAACACATCATCTGTGCGCTGTATTGTGTGTTCACATCAGGCCAAGTCTCTGTCCATCACCGCTTAGCCCCGAAGCCCTCCCCCAAGCCCCCCCACCTGGCAATCACCGTAAGGTTGTCCGTATTAAGTTAAGGATCTTAAAATAGGAAGATTGTTCCGGATGACCCGGGTGGGCCCCGTGTGATTGTCCTTCTGCCTCACAAGTAGAAGCGGGAGGCAGAAGAGCCAGAGGGAGACTGAAAGACGCCACAGAGCTGCCTTTGAAGACACGGGAAGGGGCCGTGAGCCACGGAATGTGGGCGCCTCTAAGAGACAGGGGGGTGGGTTCTCCCTGAAGTCTCCAGAAGGAACTCGGCCCTGCTGACACACTGACTTTAACTCACTGAAACCCCTTTCTGACTTCTGCCCTCCCAAACTGCGAGATAATAAATCTGCTTTTCTAAGCCACTTAGTTTGTGGTCATTTGTGACAACGGCAGCAGGAAACCAAGACACATCACGTCTGTGGTATTCGTGAGGGAGACAGACGCCTCACTGAGTGAAATTACGAGGGCCCAGGGATCGACCCTGCAGCCCAGGTACCTGCCCTTGGCCTGAAATCAAACCCACGGCCCTTCGGTGCGTGGGCTGAAGCGCTCACCACCGGGCCACGCCTGCCAGGGCACTTGCCTTACTCTTGAAAAAGTTAAAACTGTGCAAGACAAAGGCGGTTTAAAGGAGACTAAAGGGACGTGACGGCCAAGCGCAGTCCGTGGCCCGGGGCTTGAACCCGGCCTGGAGGGCGGTTGGCAGGAGTAAACGCGAATTAACCAAGAGCACGGTGTTGACGATGCACTTCCCGGTTGTGATCACTGTGCTGTGATTACATCACAAGGCCTGTCCTTAGGAAAGACACTGAGATAGTAGGAGTAAAAGGCGTGGTGTCGCAACCTACTCCCCAACAGCTCCCCAGATAATACTCTAGCTCC